GCTCTGGAATCAGGGAGTGTGTGAGTAAAGTTAGCTGAAAGGCAACCCATGTTTGCATTAAATGTATCCATTATTTTTTGATGCCAGACATAATGTAAATTACAGATAATTAAAACATGGCGACGGCACTAAAAACTATTAACAATTATGATATTTGAAAGGAAATCGCCATACTAAATGCATATTTTCCTGTACAACAATGAAGTAAATGTTTTGTTGAGTTACATATTTCAGATAATGTTATTAAAAGCGGCTGAACTCGGCACTTCTTTCAATCCCGCTTTTAGCAAGAGCAACTCTTTGCTGTCACTCTCTGTATCCGTGGACAAAAACAGCAAACTAGTCATATTAATTTTCCCTAATTTTAAATGTCATTGCAAAGCGGAGGCAGCCGCTCCTCCTCTGCCTCTTCTCCTGCTCTTTGGGAACTCACAGATGAAGAACAGGGGAGTTTCACACTCCACTTTATTCCACGTCCCAGTGTTGAGCAGCTCCACGCAGCTGACGTTGGTGGCTGGAGATGATGTGGAATATAGCTGCTCTTCCTGGCTCCACACCGCAAACTCCCGCAGAGGCGTGGAGTCTGCATAAATATAGCTTCCAATTCCATCCTTAAAAAGACAACAAAAAAAAAAAAAATCTTCATGCAACTTAGCAATACACACAACATAAAATGTGCCGTCTTTAAAAGTAGCATCACTGTCGCTGTTTCTACCTGGAGGTCCTAAACACTTACTGTGCCTTTGCTCTGAGCTTGTACTCCAACATAAACCCTTGTCAGCCCTGCTTGACTGATGTAGTCTGCCATGAGCCGGTTGATGTTGTTAGTTTTTGGCATAGCCAGCGCGCCTCCCCTTAGCTTGCAGTTCATAGAAGCCTCTCTGAACTTCTTGGGCTCCTTCACAAGCAGGTAATATCTGTCCTCTGTCTCCTTCAAGCCCAGCACAACTGAACGGGAAAGATTTTCAGAATAATTTGAGTCAATTTAGGACTGACTCATTTATTTTACCATCATTTATTTGATCATAATTCCCAAAGGTGATAAATTTACTCAAATAATAATGAGTATGTTTGGTTAAAAGTTCTCACTGACAACTCACCGTTCTTCACAAACTTAACATTGTTCCTCAGCTTCCCTAAATTCTCATCAAGCTGTCCGACCACCTTCCTGTACCTCCCACAGTCACATGTTGCACCTGATAGATAAAAAAACCATTATCTCAACTTTCTGTGCTTTATCAAATAATTGTAATTACTAATCTGCTGCCTCAAGTATATAATTGATTATTTTTTTTCAGAAAGTAAAAAATAGATAAGGAGGGAAGACAGTAGAGTATAAAAGTACCTAATGGAAATACTAACCGGAGTCCAGAATATTTCAAATTAAATTTACACTCAAACATGATAGAAATAAAGGCCGTCTGTTTGAATTTTTCTCACCAGCTTGTCCTTTGATCCCGACTGGTCCATCAAAACCTTTAGCACCTTTGTCACCTGAAGATTGATAAAAATCACAAATGTGCAGCCATTTTAAAGGAATTGTGCTTTGTGACAGTATTCCTACCCCTTGAACATTTTCTTGTATGTATGTACATTTGAGTAATATACCTGACTTTCAAAGATTTTCTTGTACAAATCAGAAATGTGTTGCATGAATTAGTGTTAATTCCCCCTGAGTCTACACTTAGCTCCTCTACTGGATATAGCTCTTTATTCAGCCCTTATATCAACGCTGATCAGCTTCCCTGTTCCTGCTGAAGAAAATCATGTCTACAACATAATGCTGTTGGCCAGCTACAAACATACTTTAATGTAGGAATAGTTCACTCAGGATGATGGGCAGCCAGTGTACAACAATCGCACAGTAACTGCAGATATGCCCAGAGATTCAACATTGGTCTAATCTTATTCCATGTTTGCCGTGCCCCTTTCATAACTTGTGACAATTTTAAAACAATCTTCCTTTGACTTTATTTCTGCTGTAATGTCTTTCTTCTTGGCACTGTCCTGTCAACAGAACCTTGCACCTAAGTTGTCGATTTCTGCTGCTCCTGCAAAGAACTGTTGACACACGATTGTATTTTAAGACATCAGCATCGAGAGGGCCGCAGCTTGCTTTTAATAAGAAAAACACATTAACTGTGTATTATCTACCTTCCCAATATGCCTGACTATGTGTTGGTGTAGCACAAGAAAAGACAAGTCCAATCAATATTTAAAAAACAAAAACCATAGTGCTTATGTAGTATCTCAATTTCACAGGCAGATGGCAGGGTCACACTTAAAACTCATTGCTCACCCTTGCAGATTTACCCTTGGTCACGAACCATCCTACTGCACCTTACGTAGTTCAAATACAATCTACAGCTCTTAAGCACAGCTTTTAACTATTTCATATTGGAGGTAACTGAATTCTTTCATTTCTATTTGTTAAAGTCTATAATTCTGCTATTCACTCATGTTGCAGCTTCACAGTGGAAATTAACCCAAGTGGCAGTTGTAAGGTTTGGGGAAGTGATTTGCTGTTCAAACATAACAATGGCCTAATTATGAATGAGGAACAGAAGAGTGACATGTGACACCTGCACAGTTTTGTTTGGGCTGGGGTAGAAAGGTTACAGTTTGAACCTCCTGGCATAAATACAATAAACTCGTTAGGTTCAAACTTTCACTTATGTTTAAATTCCAGCAATGTCAACTAATGTTAACTCCAAGAACATAAAGAAACAAAACGGCGTCTTGATGTTGTTAGTTATAATATTGTCATTAGTTTCTTCTGCACAAACACAACTGGCAGTTAAATGCATGGTATTACAGCAAATAAAATCTCTGCATACTGATGTACTGCTATAAGGTAACATAACTTGGGTAATAACATGAGTTAACCCTATGCAGATGTGGAAATTCACTGCATTTAATGGCTCTGTGAGGGTGTATTAACTTGCCATAAAACAGTAGCTCAGTTTTAGTTTTGAACCCTGCTGCACTTGGCATTGTCCGGAGTCTATTTTGTTTTCCCCCAGGTGTTTTATGAGCTCTGGGCTTCCAGTCTCATTGTTAATCCAAAGTTGTGACCTCACTCCTTCTGTGAGGAGGCTGATGCAGAGTCACTTTCCTGTAAGAGTATTAAACATGATGATTGCATGGAACGCTGCATGTACAGAGAGGCAGGGGAACTCGACTGCCTATAAAAACTGGAGCAAAGACACCGTGGTCAATGCATGAGCATGACATCATACTGCAGGGAAGACGGTTTTCTGTCTTTTTATGTCATAAAGCTCATCCTTATGCTTAGCTTAGCTTCTTGTGGACCATCTGTACTTTTTAATTACTTAATGAACCATTTAAAACTAGGTATTAATTCTGTTTTAGGTTTTAAACTAATTAAGTGTCTTGTTTTCATTTTATGAGCATAGAGAAGTCATCAAAGCTCACAGGATTTCGTCTTCATGGTATCTCTAAAATTTACACTTTGACTTCCCAAAGTTTCAGCATGCTGAAACTTTGGGGACTTTTACAATGAAAGGTCCTTAAAACCTAAAAAATAATTTGTCATCAGATATTTTTTCTTCTTTAGACTGCTTAAAGACAAACACATGCTGCAGTTTCTGACTAAAGTAATCACTAAATATGACTAATGACACTAAGCTTTGTGTCTTTACAAAAGCATTAAACAGAAGACAAAAAGAGGGAATTGCCAGACATTGGCATGGACTCAGAGTTAAAATGATTAATTGAACCTTTCTCTCCAATTGGGCCCATTTTTCCCGAGGGGCCTACTTCTCCTTTAAGACCTGGTTCACCTGGCACACCTGAGTGAGGAAAAAGGAACAATAAATTAGGATAATTAGGGATGTAAGAAACTGACAAAACATAATGGCATTAGCTAATTTTCATTTTGGTCTATAATCCAATTGTTCTCAGTCTCTTCATCTTCAGACCCCTCAAAAATAGTAGTGGTGATGCAGAAATTCAAACAAATTGAAACAGTGTTTCTTTAGAAAACTTTGGTTTTCTAAAGTTTTCTTGGAAAATCTGAGATCCATAAGACAATAAAGAGGCGTACCAGTCATGACAGCTGTACTATGTCCAAAGCCTACATCCACACCTGGCATTTGAAGAGCTTCTTTTTTAAAAAAAAAAAAACTCCCTTAAGCACCTCTGCCATGGTGATGGAACTGCCTTCACCCAAATCTTTGGACTCTGCCTCCTTAAGGGAGACCAAATTGATGAGATTCTCAGTGTTCTCCTTCCACTGTATCCACACGTCCTCCCCAAAGCAGAAACTGCTCGGGCCAGTCGCTTCTTTCCCTTTCCGAGATACCAAGTGGTTTTCCAGAACTTTCCTGGGGCCAAACAAAAGTCTGTCAAATAAAAACATTGCAATGAAGTTTGTGGCTGAAACAGAACATTTATGTGAAAAAGCTCAAGGTGTGTGAATACTTTTTGCAAGACACTAAAGACCTTGTTATTGTCCCTATGGCTTTGTGTGTAGTGAACAGAAATTAGAATGTAGGATAGAATAAGATAAAAAAGAGAACCTGCGGTAGTGAGAGCGTTTGTGTGGGAATCACACAGAGCAGACAGAGGCGTTCTGCCAGCTCTTGAACTAGTGTTTCCTCAGGAAGCTCTTCAGCTGGAAACTAATGGTGTTTCAAGCACTAAGTGATGTTCTGAAGAGGCCAGATTGTTATTAGAAGGATTTGCAACACACACACACACACACATAGGTACGCAGCCATATGTGCACGCACACACACAGGCGCACACCCACAGAAGTGTGTCTTTCTGTCTTCACAGGGTCTTTGATTTGACTTCAATTGTTTTTTTCATTCAGTTCCTATAACCCAACCCTGACCCCGAAGTTAGTGTTTCTACGTATAGTAGGGCTTTGCATTGACTTCCTTTCATTTTAGTAACTGCATTTATGCTTTACCCATAAAGAGCAGTGGTTCCTCACAACAGACTACTTGTTGGAAAAATTGGCTTTACAAGGTGAGAAATACTTAAACACACTCACACTCACGCAAATAAAAAATGTTCAGCTAGCCTTACAAGAACTACAGTGGTGTGAAAAAGTGTTTGCCCCCTTCCTGATTTCCTATTATTCTGTATGCTTTCCACACTTAAGCTTTTCAGAACATCAACTACCGTTTTTAAAAGAAAGTGTTGATCATAAAGGGAAACATAAATCAAAACCTACATATTTTGATTTGTGTGAAAAATGATTACCGCCTAAACCTCATACCAGCAACAATTGGAATCAAGCATTTACGATAGCTTGCAGCGAATCTTTTACAGTGCTGTGGAGGCTTTCGGCCCATTCACTTTTCCAGCATTGTTGTAATTCAGCCACATTTGATTGTTTTCCATCACGAACAGACTTTTTAAGGTCATGCCACAGTGTCTCAATAGGATCGAGGTAGAACTTTGATTATGCCACTCCACGGTCTTCATTTTGTGTTTCTTCAGTCACCCAGAGGTGGAGTTGCTGGCGTGTTTTGGATCATTGTCCTGCTTCAGAACCCAAGTCGGTTTCAGTCTGAGGTCACAAAAGCAGATGGTCGACATTTTCCTTCTGGATTCTTTTTTGGTAAATTGCAGAATTCATGGTTCATTTACCACAGCATGTCTTCCAGGTCCAGAAGCAGCTAAACAGAACCAGAACATCACGGTACAAACACCATATTTTACTGATGGTATGATGTTTATTTTCTGAAATGTGTTACTTTCACGCTAGATGTAATGGGACACATACCTTCCAAAGAGATCAACTGTGGACTCGTCAGTCCACAGAATGTTTTCCCAAAACATTGGGGATCATCAAGAAGTGTTCTGGAAAAAAACAAAACGAGTCCTAATGTTCTTTTTGCTCAGCGGGACATTTTTGTTTTTGTCTTGGAACACTGCCACACAGGCCATTTTTGCCCAGTCTCTTTCTTATGGTGGAGGCATGAACTTTGCCCTTAACTGAAGCAAGCGAGGCCTGCAGTTCTCTGGATGTTGTTGTGGTGTTTTATAACTTCTTGGATAAGTCGCCGCCGAGTTTTTGAGATAATTTTGGTCGGCTGGCCACTCCTGAGCAGTTTCACCACCGTACCATGTTTTCGCCATTTGTGGATAACAGCTTTCCCTGTGGTTTGGTGGAGTTATAAACCTTTGGAAGTGGCTTTGTAACCCTTTCCAGACAGATAAATCTCAATTACTTTCTTTCTCATTTGCTCTTGAATTTTTGTTTTTGGATCTCTGCATAATGTTTACCTTCTTAGGATCATTTGGTGAACTTCACGTTGTCAGACAGTTCTCAATCCTTGTTCTCAATCAAAACATGTAAGTGATATCTTCATTGACAACAGTGTGGCAAGTCTGTATGTGGCTAGAGACTGTGAACTCTGGTGTGATAAACCACAGTTAAATTTTGTTTAAACATGGAGGGCAATCACTTTTTTTCCACACAGCGCCTTGTAGGTTTTAATTTCTTGGGGGAGATTATTCCCATAATGATAAACATCTTCATTTAAAAAATGCATTTTGGTTTTACTTGTGTTGACATATATCTCAGTTCGTCTGCTGTTCTGAAACGCTTAAGTGTGGAAAACATGCACAAAAATAGAAAATCAGGAAGGCAGACATTTTTTCACTCCAGTGTATTCACTGAGAAAGCTTTTCATATCTAATCAGAACCTTAATCGTGACTGATTCTGTTTACTTTTATAATCCGATGTTCACAAGTATTCATGTCCCAACAAGGTTTTTGATGTCTTGATTAAAAAGTAAAAAAAAAACAGTTTTAAAAAGTAAAAAGAAAAAACCATTCTCCATCTCCGCTGTCACACTTTCTCACAATTTAATCCTCTTGTTTTTGAGAAGTTTTCACAAATTCTGCATGAATTATTTGTCAAAATGCTTTGCAGGCTGCCTCACAGAGAAAATGTTTTCACAGTCGTCAGCAGAGAGCTCACAGTGAGAAGCGATTATGTGCTTTTGTCTTTTGCGAGAGGAAGAAACTGATTTTGGCTCCTCTCTCTCCTCGCTCCCTCTGTGTCTATAACATCTGATTAATGTTGTTTTGGCAGTGTGCACGCTCGCCAGTTAAACGGTCTGTGTGAGCGTCCAGATAACAGGCCTTTGTATCACTGCAGTCACACTTTATAATGGCCAACTCCTCAAACTGGTTTAACGACTGACTTCTCCAGCTGCCGGTGGATAAAAGAGGTGAAGGGTGCAATTCCCACAGGAGAATTACACATTTTAAACAGGATCAGGCAGCTTAAGAATATTCAAACATCAGAAATATAAGAAATTAAATATGCTAAGTTATGTTTTCTCACTAGACGGGAAAATATTGCACTACGAGGGTGCATGTTTCCATTTAACTTACTGACAAATCCTGCTAAATCCAGTAAGAATATAGCTAACAGCTTTTTGATGCTAATACGTTTAGACAAACAAATAGTTTTTTGTTGCCCTCCGGAGCATTGAGAGTCATGGATTCCCTTTTAAGCTTCCAAAATTAAGCAACTGTTTCCTGTAACACTGCCTAAATTAAGACTGGGAATACATGCGTCATCTGTTGCGCTGCCGACATGGTGTACTAACAAAATCATTGTAGAGACCTGCTTTCATGGCTGTCAGTAAGTGTACGGACAGAAAAACCATAATGACAGGTTGTGAATAATGTCCGTAAAGTTGAAAAGTTGAAAAAGGTTCTCGTGTGCTTCTCATACCTTCTCGGTGTGTTCTCGGTACTCACACACACACACACACACACACACAAGCGCTCGGCGGTACAGAGGGAAATATTTCATTGTTTTGCGTCAGGACGCAGAGTAAATAGAAGTCTGAAAGTTGTGTCTTTAAGTTTGCCTTTTTGTGTGTACATACAAGACACAAAAGCAGCTGAAACCAGACGGCTACACGCAAGACTGTTTTACTTGTGTCTGACATTAAATCAGTCAGTGATGATTACTCGGATTGTTCTGTATTACTAAATACCAAAATAACGAGGGAGCTTTTTTTTTTTTTTTTTTTAAACAGAATTTTTTTTTTAAAACACTTTCATCAGAGCCAGAAGCATAGAGTACTTATGCAGTACTCAGTGGAATTGTTGTCTGTTCTTTTTGATTGGGTCAAACATTTGGGTCTCCTTCCACAGGCTTCCTTTTGGCCAATTCCTGACAGAACTGGTGTAACTGAGTCAAGTTAGTCAGAGGCTTTGGGGTTTTTTTTGTCCATCTGAAAGAAGCGTTTGTGACCAAACTTTAATCATCTGTCGGATTTCTTAAGATGCTTCTTAATTATTTCCACATAATGTTCTCTCCTATTTCGCGCAGCGCACCAGACCCTCAGGTTGCAAAACAGCCACAAAACTCGATGCTGGATTTCACAGCTTCCCCCACTCTCCTTCCAAGTAGAATGTGGGCTGTCTTAATCTGCAGAGATTAAGATAATTATTCTTGTGTGCATTTGAAAAGATCAGATTTTTTTTCTTTTGCTTTTAGAGTAATGACTTCTTCCCCCCTGAGTGGTCTTTCCTATCATGTCAACACATGATTTATTTTAGTGTCAATAATACTTTTTTTTTTTTTTTTTCCACCAGCTTCAGCCAGTTTCTTCACAAGGTCTTTTACTGGTGTTCTGGGGTTGATTCACAGATTTCCCACCAAAGCATGTTCACCTCACCTCTGGGGCCCAGAACCTGTCTCCCTCCTGGACAGTATAATGGCTAGACATTCCCATACTGTTCTTTTTTTTATCTACAGTGGTTTGAACAGAAAAAAAATGTGGCACCTTAAGGCATCTGGAAGTTGTAACAAGATGAACCAGGGTTGTGAAGGTCTACAAGTCTTTTCCAGATGTCTTGGGATAGTTCTTTTCTTTTCTCTCTGATGTTCTACTAGAGAGCTGTTTGTTTGAGAGCTTGGTACTATTAAACTTAAATAATAATTAGAAGCCAGCACAGTCAGATGATGACATCTTTCACAAAGTGTTTAAAGTTAGAGACTCTCAGGGCAAATAAACTTCTGACTTTGAGGAAAGCAATGAAGCAAGTTCTTTAATAAAATTCCTTTTAACTTATTTAGAAAATGGAATCAATTTTGGTAGCCTAAAAATAGCTGGAATTAAAGGTCGCCTGCATTTTATAAAGTGGGAGCAAAGTGGTTTTAAGTAGTTCCTCAGTATTTATATTTATGGCTTGTTACTTAGGAAACGATATTAACATTTCATGTGAAAACCATTGTCAGTGCTGGAAGATTCCTTGTAAAAAAAAACAACAAAAAAAAACAAACAAATGTGATCTTTCTCTGGCAGCACAGTAAACAGTGCAGGAAGCAGATTCTTGTTTACTTCACTGTTTTTGTCCTTCAGTTGTCTGACCTTTACTAAATGTTGGAAACAAACAAATAAAAAACCATATGCGTCTTTGTACGGTTAGATTTTCGTATATTCAAACTAAAATCCAAATTTTTCAACGGGTAAGTGAGCTACACAGTGATTTGACTAAAATAGGAACAATACTAATTTTGTCCAGAAAAAGAATATGCAGTGGTGTTACCCATTGTGAATAGTATGTTTTTTTTTTAAATGCATATAAAAACAAAGCTAAACAAATAAAATCATTATATGCATGCGAGTGTGTGACTGACGTTTTGTACCTGCCAATCCCGGTGGACCGTTCTTCCCAAGCTTTCCGTCTTCTCCCTGTTCTCCATAATCACCTTGATCTCCTGGATTTCAACAAAGAAAACTGAGCTGACATGATTTTTTTTTTCCAGTGTCAAGCTATTAGGAGGATGACACATTATACACTGACAAATGCACTAGACCAAGAAAACATTCAATTAATTTCTTTGGTTCATTACATTTGTGTATGAATCCCTGTGCAGATATTGTCACAAGTCTCTCAACTCACTGCACCACATTGTAATATATAGTTTCTGCCAAGACATTTTTAATAGCAGTGCTATTATTGTATTAAAATACAATAACTTTTCACAGTGAAAACCACTA